AAAAAAAAAAAAAAAAAAAAAAAAAAAAAAAAAAAAAAGGTGGCCCAACTTACTAGTAACTGTAGGCTCACCTTAAAACACAGCGACTTAAAGTAAAATCGACAAACACCACCATATTTTTTAGCACAAATGGCTTCCAAGTTCAAAATGTGGTCAAAACCTCAATATTAGATTATATGTCATATATCCTTGAAAAAAATATGAAAAGAAAATGTGTTCACCTTAGCCAGACTTCAAACAACTGGTACAGCAGTCATCCTTGTTAGTAGGTAGAGCTTAACATCAAAATGCCTCTTTTCTTTTTATCGCCAAGTAAAATGTCACTGGGTTCATCAACTTGGATGCACCAGATGTCATGTGTTTTACTAAGCTGCAGCATAATACTTTGACCTTGTCTCTAATATGACAAACATCAGCATTTGGAAGATTTGCATGAAATGAAAATCATGGCATGTCCTCACATCTCTCTTTGTTTGATAAGTGGCTTTCTTTTATACTGGTATAAAAAAGCAAGATCAGATTTTCAAAATAACGTGCAGCTTATTGCCCTTCATCACTCTGGAAAGAGTGGTTGATAATTTCTATGTTAAATACAAAAAACTCCCTTTTCTCTCATTTTGTCAAGGAACACACTTGCCCCTTTTAGAATATAAACCCGACTACTTCAGTGTCAAAGAATTTTTATTTATTTAATTTTTTTTATTGTGAAAGCACAACTGTTAAAGAACATGGTAAACATAATTTTTTCCATTAACGTCAAGACCAGAATATTGATTACTTAGTCATATGAGAATAAGTTCATCAGATGCAGTTACTTCCTGAATGTGTCTGATGTACATTTTCACATAAGTCACAGAATGTATCTTTACGGATCTTCCAATTGAATGTCAAAGGAGGAAATCAAAATATCTGCTCTGACAATGACTACATGATCCTGATAACCGCATCAATTTACACTTACAGTAAGGCAACACAATAACAACATTCAATGCTTTTACTTAACATATTATCATGCAAGGACTTATTCTATAATTCAATCAAGATACTAACAAAGTGCATTTTGTTCAGTGTGTCAGTGTATTTCACGTGACTTAATTGTAAATGAGAAGAAAAACTGGTGGCTATCAGTCTGTATTCAGAATACCTCAAATGTAGGTTAATCTACTCTATTAAGCTCTATTAACTTCCTTGTTAAAATAGCCAATTTCATAATATACTATGTTAGAACACATGTAAACAAACAGACAGCTTATATTTCATGTATCAAAACAAGCCATATCATTTTTTGGTGGCATTAGGCGAAGATGTTAGGATTAAACAACAGGTGATACAAGGGAACATCATGTAACAAGCAGCTGCTACAAGGCAACATATACCTTAATGCATTACAACTATTTCTCTCAATTGCAATGAAATGTATACAATCATACAAACCTTGTATTCAACCACATATCAACCAATACTGTAATATGTTATAGACTTGTCATATCATTTTATTTAAAAATTACTAAAATCATGGACCTAATACAAAACAATATTTGTCACATTGATGAATCGAGAAGAATGCAGATGAAGGAAAATGAATGCCTAAAATTTTTTGTCTAGAATCAAATAATGAAATATATGAAACGTAAACAATCAAATCATGCTCATTTTCAAACTCTACTTTTACTCTGTTTTCCTATGTATGCAACTTTTGTTGAAAAACTTAAATGAATTTGTTCATTTTTGTTAGTACTACATATCTGATTGTGATATCCAAAGGAGTGTTTTATGTGATATTTAGCTCTATACACTTAACAGGGTCATAGTTTGTGATGAATCAAGCATATGTATCCCAGTGTCATTTCTTCATATCCCCGCATTGTTACCTCTCCCAAACAAATTATTATGTTACAGGCATCGATACACCCCCATATCATTACCTCCCCCCAACCCTTTGTTTCTTTCCTATTGTAACTTCCTCTCTGTATTACGATTGGAACACTGTTACTTTGGGGACAAGACAGGTGTATTTTTGTTTTAAAAAATGTAAATTTACAGTAAGATTTTGAAATCAAGAACTATCTTATACATGGTACATTTTCACTAGTCAGCTGAGTTATACTATGTGAGAGTTACCATGTATGGTAGTAATGGTGCAGGACCGTGCAGGAGGGCACTGTTGAAACTGAATGGGGACATAAAACAATGTAGCCTGTATCCCAATTATTTTAATGGTTACTGCTCCTTCTTAAGTTACAACCAAAAGTTAAATTGTTCATTTTCCTGACATGCATTGGCAACGATTTAGTTTACTAAAGTCGCCTCTTCATTTATGCGAATAAATGAATATAGCCTAGGACAAAAGACGTCTGTTGGCGTGTGAACTATGTGTTTGTGCGTGGGTGCGCGATTAATCAAAATTAAATCGGCTGCAACCAAGCCCAAATAATAGCACTGCTTTCCCCCCCCCCCTCATTGTGTTCACTGCAGTTTTTGACTGTTGTGTCGAGAGCCCTCCGGTAAATAGAAAAACGCAATCTAAAGATGTGACAAAGAGAGAAAAATAGTAGGACCAGCTGCAACCGGAATTGAAACAGCGAAGAAAAAAGTAAATTTTCAAATTGACCACAACGTTTTTCACTTCAGATAATAAAACTCATATATACCTTTTTCTTGTACAGTTCCATTTTTTGTACCTTTTGGCGATTTGGGCGCGGGGTCACTGGCAGATCTTTGATGTTGTGGTTTTTTGCCAAGTTTTAAATCTGGGGTCTCCATATTGCAAACGGAAATAGCCGAACACCTTTAACTTCCGGTATGATCTTAAGCTTTTTTTTTTCAGCAAAACTTTAAGTATAAGTTTTGGTATATTTCGAATGATCAAATATATTAACTGCCATAAAATGAATTTTCATATGATACTTTCTGTGAAAGAAAAATAAACAAAAGCCCATCCCATATACCATGATGCACCGCAACAATATTCTATTTATAAATCGCACCATGACCTAATGTTCTTGTGATTCACATGATCTGGTGACGTCAAAAGCAAAATAAATAGGATAAGAGACCTTTATTTCGCAAGTAACTACTAAGAACAACCTCGTCTAAGGTAAGCATATATCTGTAAATGAATTTAGATTAGTTTTCAATACGTTTGAGTCCCAAAGACAATCGTTTAAGTCGCTGGCAGTCTTCGGTACTCTGTTATTTGGCAGCAGCACTACGATCAAGCACAACTGAAATGCAACGTACTCCCATAATCTATCCTCACCGTATCCTGGTTTCATTTCCCAAATCGATAAACGAGAATTAATTCTGCACCCCTTTGTAGGTACCTCAGTCATTCTACTAGTAAAACTATGTATGGATTGACCCTTTTATGAAGGTTTAAGCAGTTTGTTGATTTAGGTTGATTTTTTGTTCTTGTACTTCCTAGTCTTCGTATCCGTCGCATAATGATTATCCTGAAATGTCTCGAATAATAAATTTGGATTTAAACAAGTTAACGGGATAGGCAGATCAATATATTTAACACTTAAGTGATTATATAACAACGGGATGAAGACGGGGTAAGAAAAAAATAATAAGCAAAAATCGTAAGCACTGCATGTCTTGTGACTCAGTGACATCTTGTCTGTCAGTCACTAGGGTCACAGGGGCAGAATCTAGGCTACTGTATTCAGTAGTAGGAAAGTAAAGTCACAGTAGTAATAGTATCGTAAATTGTCACATATTTCAGACAGTTGTTGTAGCATCATGAAAAAACTGTAGAAACAGTGCCTCGAATTTGATGTTTATTAACTTGGGTATTCGTTGTCAGTTGACTGTCAGTCTTAAAGAATTTCCTTCTGCCATGATCATTAAAACAACAAGTGCCCCTGGACTCAAGTAGTCTACATACAGATTTGATTTAGTACCAGAATGTACTTAACTTTACATGTGAAACATGCATGGATTCCCCATGACGCATATAAACCACTTCTACAAGTCAGCCAACAAGCATCAGGTGCATGAATATTCCATATTTATATGTGGCATCACTTTGAAAATTACAACAGATGCTGATCACCCAATAAATGCAGCAGTATGCACTAAAATATGGGTGGATATTGAATTTAGTGCTTAACTTAATCTTATAATATTTACATCTAGGGTACTATGATGTGATTTATTTCAAAATTGATCTTGACAGACATTAAGGAAACACACCGTTTTTTGGCTCACATATTTTTGTTTTCTATGGTTTGATTTTTTAATTTTTTTTTTTTTTTACTTTTAGATTTAAGCAAGTTATAGATTGTCAACCAGCACACCAGCACCATGTCTCTGTACCCATCACTAGAAGATATGAAGGTGGACCACATGGCCCAGGCACAGATGCAGCACAGCCAAGCCCAGGCCCAGGCAATCCAATACCCACAGCAGGGACAGGGGCTGCCATACCCTGTGAACCCCACGGCCGCTGCATACCCACAGTCCTCTCTGTACCCTTCACTCAATGAGTACATGGGGCTGTCTCTGGATGAAGGGGCTATTCCTCCTGCTTATGGTCAAGTGGTGCCTTCTGGGGGAAATCAGGTGATTATTATTATTATTATTATTATTATTTTGAAGTTATTATGTTGGTAACTATATGGTATGTAATTTACTATTTTCCTTTTACTTGGGATGTTTAAATTACAAGAGTGCTCATTTTTCAAAAAAAAAACAAAAAAAAAATTACGCTTTTATTTATGAAAGGTTATAAAAATTTTATTTGATTAACTGTGTTAATAATATTGCTCTCATTTCCAAATGAATACTGTACAAATGAAAACTGTATTGAGATTTCATGTAATATTATCAAAACATTCTAGTCCCTCTTTTCACCCCTTCTTTATGTTGAATCCATTATAAGCAATTTTTCTTAGCTTAATTAATTTGTATATTTGTACCATTAGTTGGCAGTGAGACAGACCCAGACCGGGAATATGCAAGTGGCCCCTGTCACTGGTAATGATGTCGGTTTAAGAAGAGCAGAAATCAAACAAGGAATAAGAATGGTCACGCTGTGCAAAGACCAGCAGGGCAAGTGTGGCCTGAGAGTGAGAGGAGTCAATAAGGTAAGTTGATTTTAGTGAAGAATTAGTGGAATTTGTGCTGTCTGAATCATTGTATTTTTTTAAGTACACTTACTAGTAACTTTTTTCCCTTATGAACTTTACAATTTGAATAGCATCATTGAGAAATACAAAGCTGCAGTTCAAAAATGCACTAGGAGGAAATATTATATTGTATGTGTTATGGTAACAGGTCAATGAGATAGCACACAGATTAGGACTTCATAAATGATAGGCTACTTGGCTAAGCCGCTTTTAGATAAGATATGTTCTCAGGTGACTTGGCAGAACAACAGCTTATAAACTGAGCCAAGAAAAGATAAAATTTATCATGATAGCACTGGTAATACATATTTGCAGTGTCTGTAGATTCATTCTCCATATTTGAGTGGAATACATGGACACTTACTAAATTATTGGATTCAAGATTAGATGAAAGTTATACATGTAAGATTGGTAAAGAACAGTTATCCAAAAATACAAATTTTTGTTTGGTCTCACTGTATTTGAAGTAAAAAGGGTGAAAAGACCTGCCATTATTAACATATTTTTTAATTTTAGTTTTAGAGTGCCATCATCATCACCATTAAGGTTAACTGTTAATAACCAGCCAAAGTCTTCTCAAGGAGGATGCAATATTATCTAGTCATACTAATCATCTATTGACAGACATTGTTCATTGTTTCATTATTTCAGCAGTACTTATATAATTTACACAAAAATATTCATTCAAACTCAAAAAAAGCGATCATCCTATCAAAAACTGAGAGTTGTGTGTTTTGTGTATCTACAGGGTGTGTTTGTTGCCTTTGTCCATGTGAACTCCCCTGCCGCCTTGGCTGGCCTGAGGTTTGGGGACCAGATTCTAGAGATCAACAACCAACTTGTGGCTGGCTGGGACACAGACAAGGTCATGAAGTTCATTAAGAACGCAGCACCAGAGAAAATATCCATGGCAGTACGTGACAGGTAGGGTGACAGGGGGCGACACATGTTGGACTCTGGCTCGCTTAGACAATGTTTTAGTGGTTAAAAGATGCATTTTTTGGATAAAGAATATTGAAAAAATTGAATAATAAAGTAATTTATCGTGTAATTTATTCTAAAAAAAAACCTTTAAGCTCTCATGTAAGTGTATGCTTTGAATGCATTGCAGTCTTGTATTTTGTTTATAGCATTGTTAATATTTGTAAGTTTTTATCAAATAAAGATTAAAGTTAACCTCAATGACCATATGATTTTTCAAGTGTATTTTACGCCTATTTAAACAATTCTGTTACAGACCATTTGAACGTACTCTGACCATGCAGAAGGACAGTGTGGGACACATAGGCTTTGTCTTCAACAATGGTAAAATAAACTCCATCGTGAAGGACTCTTCTGCCGCAAGAAACGGCATCCTTACAGAGCATCAGCTCATTGAGGTCAATGGTCAGAATGTTGTAGGACTAAAGGTATGGATTCAGATGTTTAATAATCAAGTTTTCAGCTGAAAACACGATTTAAATTGTGTTATGGCAAGGGTTGTACAGAGTGGTGTCAACTGAGCATTAATTTAGTAATTTAAAAAATATTTTTCTAGATAATTCTAAAGTTTTCCAGCTACTTTGGAAAATTCCCAACTTTTGAAAATGCATATAACGATTTCACATTAAAGTAATTGTATATTTGTGAAACATACTTGTGAAGAGTAATGTTTGAGTAACCATTATATATGAAACTACAAAACTGAGTACTGAAAATAATTTTGGGCCATTTTCAGGATTCTGAGACACGTGACATCTTTGCTGCAGCACCAAGGACGGTCACTGTCACCATCATGCCTTCATTTATCTATGAACACATTGTCAAATGGTAAGGAACTAAACATTTTATGCTAACAAGATTATGGGAATGGGAGTAATTTTATTTATTCATTTATTCTTTTATTAATTTTTTTTCATTTTTAATAGCATTCAGCCTCAAATCTTTCGAATGGTTCAAATTATCTTTTCAGAAATTTCATACTTTTTTCAAAGGGAGTTTTGTCTATGGCAGTGACTGAGATGTTGCTATATGTGCAAAATTTTAATATGAAGTTTAGTGGACTGTTTGTAAAAGAATTAAGAGATAGATATATGGGCCAGAGCCGAGTTTGGCACACAAACTGGGAGGGATCTTTTGACACAAACAAAAATAAAAAACTTGCACTTTTTTTAGAAGATAAAAATATTTTCCATTCCAATTTTGTTTTGCTTTTCCTACATTTCAATTTCTATCTTTTCAGCATGGGTTCCAGCTTAGTTAAAAAATTGATGGATCACTCCATCCCCGACATCTAAACTTAACTGTCCTGGAAAATGCAGATTCAGGAAAAAGTTCTGCAGAGTTGCACATAAACATTATTGTTGGATGAATATTTGGATGACTCAAAATAACTCTCTGAGTTGTTTTACCTTGTAAATATTTAAAATCTGTAAAAAAAAATGGTCACACAGAAGGACAATCCTCTGGTCGAATGAGAAGAAAAGCATCTATATTTCTGCATTTGGAGCAATAGGAAAAGAACTAATAAAATGGAACTGTGAAAATGTTTGCATGTGGCATGAAGAACATACCATGTAGAAAGCACCTTCATTCAGTGCTTATAATTCTGTATTCAAGAACTAAAATCCAAGTTTTCAGTGGATGCCTCAGGTGCAGGGTCAATTGACTGATGTTTCTTTGAATAGAAATGGTATGCTGCATGGGCAATTAGTGTGATATCAACGTGATTACTAAACTGCTTATTTATTCAAGATTTTGCTGCATATCATATGGCGTAGTTTTTGAATCACCAAGTTTAGCAAAAGATGGTCATAATAGATGTTCTCTTTTTGTATGAAGGCACTTGTTCTACCTTTCTACAGTACATTCTAATGGCAGTGCCATTAGCTTATTAATAAGAATGAAAAATATCGAGTTTTGATAAATGTAAATATTAGATTTTGTGAGTTTGTGGAAACGATTTGTAGGATAAAATAGTCGAATATTGTAACACAATGCTGTGTGCTCTATTTTATTATAAAATTGATTTATAAATAAATGTGTTTGTTATTAAATGTTTTTGTGCTCTCTACCAGCAGTTTTCTAGCTGCGACAAATTTGTATATATTTCTCACAATTTGGAACAGCTTTACGACTTCTAGGAGTGTTTGTATGTACTATTATACCAAATCACTGAACATCATCAACATTAAAGATGTGTTGCTAGATGTATTGTCCCCTTCAAGCCTGCACAATATGACCTAAGTGAGGTAGTTATCCTGGAAAAATGAAGTTGTATTTTGTGCAATGACAAGAGCATTTGCTTTGAAAGTGGTTATTAACAGAACACTAGGAACTATCCACCCCATTGTGTTACCCGTTGTGAGAGAGCTATGACAACCAAATTGAATGCATTAGAGAAGACAAGGTGAGATTCCAGTGGGGAGAGAAAATGTTTTTGAAATTTTAACTGTCGTTTTGACATAATTGCCGTTATCATATTTTCAAATGCATAACGCATTTTCAAGCAAACTAATAATCAAATGTTGAGCAAATATGAGCGTAATTTTTATGATTGTCATAATATTTCAATGGTGCGCTTCTTTTTTGTGCTCAGACAGCTAGAGTTATCTAAGCAAAAAAAAACCGTTATTAAAAATTGGATAATTTCCTTGTGTTTACGTTTGTACTATAAAGATAACCGTCTCTGCATTGAATCTTTGGTTATCAGTAACATTTTTTAATCACCAGCTTGTAATTGGACCCAGTTAACTGTTTACTGGGTCCTAGGCTTGTGGGGAAAATCTAGCAAAAATGATTATCAGTTTTCTCGCAAAATATTTATTTTAGTGATAAAAAGATTGATCAAAATCCTGATATGTGACCTATGTTGTCTCCGAATGAAACGTATATGTATGCGTTCAACCCAACGGAACCACAAATTCACCTGAAGCGCAGTTTAGAAACTTAAGCCCGTGATACACTAAATTGTACCAGTACTGGTATTAAGATTTAATATAAATTATAACCGATAAAAAAGATCAATAAAATTGTATCGGGTAAAAGACGATGTTTAAATAACTGTTGCTACCTCTAGAAAAGTACAATTATGTAGTTTTCGACAAATAAACCCACGGCCTTTTCCCATTTCACAAAATTGTCCAGAAATCAAGTTTTGTGTATAACTAATGTAAGTAACTATGGAAACAAGTATCATTTTCCAGAGCTAGTAAATTAGTGTAGTGCTTTGTATAGACAAACAAACTAAAACAAGTTTTGTCCTGCTGATATGAGCAAATATGTAAAAAAACGTTCTGGGCAGAAGATGGTTAGTTTGGCCTAGGCTAATGCATGTGCGGAGGAACAGGTATGAAGTAACTAATTTGTGTGTGGCAGAAATAAAAGAAAATTGAGTAACTACTTTTCTTGTCGTCATGGACAATTAATCAGATCAGAGGGACAATAATTGACATCCAGACATGTTAACTGACATTCAACAATATTTGTCCAGAAAACAAGTTTTGTGTATAACTAACGCACGTAACCATGGTAACAAGTATCATTTTCCAGAACTAGTAAATCATGTGACTGCTTAAAAAACAAATCAAAATAATTTTATCGGGTAAAAGTAAAAATGTTGAAATAGCTGTTGCTACCTCTAGAAAAGTGCGATTATGTAGTTTTCGACAAATAAATCCACGGCCTTTTCCCATTTCACAAAATTGTCCAGAAATCAAGTTTTGTGTATAACTAATGTACGTAACTGGTAACACGTATCATTTTCCAGGGCTAGGAAATCATGTGGTGTGTTTTGTAGAGACAATTAAAATAAGCTTTGTCCAGCTGATATGTGCAAATTTTATGGAAATAAACGTTCTGGGCAGAAGATGGTTAGTTTGGCCTAGGCTAATGCAAGTGCGGTGGTACAGGCAAGTAGTAACTAATTGGTATGTGGCAAAAATAAAAGAAAATCGAATAACTACTTTTCTTGTCGTCATGGACAATAAATCAGATCAGAGGGACAATAATTGACATTCAGACATGTTAATTGACATTCAACAATATTTGTCCAGAAAAAAAGTTTTGTATATAACTAACGCACGTAACTATGGTAACAAGTATCATTTTCCAGAACTAGTAAATCATGTGACTGCTTAAAAAACAAATCAAAATAATTTTATCGGGTAAAAGTAAAAATGTTGAAATTACTTGTTGCTACCTCTAGAAACGTGCGATTATGTAGTTTTCGACAAATAAATCTTGTCGTCATTGACAATTAATCAGACCAGAGGGACAATAATTGACCTTCAGACATGTTAATTGACATTCAAGCATGGTGTAAAATATAATTTTTTTCTAATTCAAATCTGTTTACAGACCCGTAGGACAAACTATAAAAATAAACATTACAAATATTAGACAGCATTAGCAAATGTACGGTCCCTTAAAACAGAGGTGATAATATACATTTATATCTCACGTATGCTTTGACACTTTTCTCGACTGACTTATTTCAAATGTGCCTTGCAATGACTAAAAGACAGCTATGGCTAAGACAAATTAAAGGGCGAAATGCCGACTCCATAGAAGCAAGATATGGGTTCCACAACGCATGTTGTATTCGAGAAGAGTGTATTTCTCTTAGTTAGGATGACTCTTAGCGGCCATGCTATATGTCTCTGACATTGTTTCAATCAGGATATACATTGGGGGTGGATATACATTGTTTTCGCCTATGGGTTTATGTACATTTATTATTTTATTTTATTATTTATTTGTTTGTGTACATACGTTTCGCCAATAAAAAAATAAGCATACACAGATTTTGTGTAGAAGGTATGAAATTTTTCCTATGTGTTGATGAAAAAAATATTATAGAAGACATATTACAGAAAGCATTTATGTGATAAAAAGACACCTGGACATTCATACTTATAACGCTGCTAATCGCACTGCTTTTCACCTTGACAACGAGTAAAAACACACGTGGAACGTTCACCGCTCTGTGGCGCCTCTGTGGTTAACTGAGGAACTGGCCTCTGTGCCACCTGTCGTCCTTAAAGTCTGTCGCAGCACTCACTATTATCTCACTGGGAGGGAAATTGGCGTCCTGTCTGCTTCAGGAGACCGACAACAGACTTACAGTGCCAGTTGTCCAATTTGCTTTTGCCGATACATATAGAGGAATCTCAAGAAAATCGACAAGTAAGATATTAATTTTTGCTTTTATTTTTGTGTTTTTGGCAACGGAAATTTCATTTGTTTTTGCGATATTATGAACATGTAAAACATCATTTAGGAGACTATATAGTTATATAATTACAGAATTGAGCATGCGCAGTCCATTTATATATAGGCCTATATATACATGTACACTGTAAATGAAACATTTGCTACCTGAATTCAGCTACATTTCAATTCTAATGAGACAGACAGAAAACTATAAAAGACAGATTATCGAATTTATTCTTGAAAGTATTTCTCGTTTCAGACATATTACTGCATAAAAAAATGAAAAGAACTGATCAACAACAGCATTACTTTGGTGAGTGCCGTTCCAAAAACAGCCACGAGGAAAGCTTGGATTTTGAAAACGAAGTCTGCGACAATTCCGAGATGAGAAACTTGTCATGCCATATTGCCTCAAAAGGAAGTCAACAACATCCAAATAACGACGACGGAAACTTAGCAGATCAGCATGACCTACGGGACGGCGATGGGATCGAATTTGATGATTTACAAGGACGAACACAGTCTGAGGAAAACACCTTGAGCGAAATGCTCCCACACATCTTGAAACTCTGTGATCTTGACGTCGTGACCAAGGAGTTTGAATACACTGGGTTACCGACGCATCATGATTCTTTGCCTTACGGGGCCTACGCAACAGAGGTGCCAAAATCGCCTTCAATTCGAGGACGCTATCGAAACAGTGATCCTGGGCAATCAGCGTCCAAGGAACCCCACACAGGTCACCATTCGTTGTCCTTACGGCAACATAGCATTGATTCCCCGTCTTCAAACGTTATTTGGCACAATGGGCGGCGGTATCGATTGGCATTATGTGACGACCAGGAAGCACCCGGACTTGGGCTGACCTCTCCAAATAGTCCAACCAATTTAATGTTTCCTCCGTCTCCGCCGTTTTCAAGCAGGCCCCACCCGCCAGCGTTCAACATTATTGCTCCTTCGCCAACAATGTCTCTTACGGGGAAAGACTGTAGTGCAGGTAAAATCATGATGTCTTCTCTGCGTAGAGCAGAAAAGAACATTTTTGACTCAAAATCTCCATCTTTGTCAAGCCCATCTTCCTCGATGAGCCCAGTTTCAACCTCGTCTTTTTCCAATTATTTGTCTGCTCGAACACTATATGAAACCGGGAGTCCTCTGCCTCCCGTATTAACTCCTAAACCTTTAAGGAAAAATTTACTTCCTCCTCTGGATCCATTGGGTCGAATGTCATCTTCTGGCGAAAGTATGGACGGCAGCACCCCAGACAGGATGCATTTTTTCAGTAAAAGCCCTCTTCAAAGCCCTCACAAATTGGAACCGTGCTCCCATATATTTCATTCAAATAATCTAGATGGAGGTCATAAATACAACGAAAAAACTCCCGGGACGAGGAAAAAGAAATCTTCAAGATCCACGAAGAAGAACATCAGTTCTGATAGTGAGAAATCTACAGGCTGTCTTATTGATGAGGAGCAGCGCCGCGGTAACTTTGAAGTTAAAACAAGACCTCGCAAGAAGTCGAGTATAGCCACAAACAAGGCTAATGTATTGAAGTGTACATCAAAGGTCAACAGAATTCTGGTCAATGATCCAATACCAGAGAAGTACGCCCAACAGGTTGTAACAGAGCATCCGAAAAGAAAAACGAGCAAAACTGTCAAGACTAAAAAGCGCCACAGCTCATTCAGTGTTCGGTCTACATATCGTAGACGCACTGATATGTCGGAAACCAGTTCAAAAAGCGGTGAAGGGCTCAGTCAAGATGGCAGGGACAGTTATTGTACTTCTATTGCGAGTAGCGTCGATGCTGCTCCCCCATCACCTCCTATTCGTAAGAGAAAGAGTGCTATAGTAGTTTGCACAGACGGGCCTCGGGACTCGAATGTTTATTTTCCTGAAATTAGTCTTAAAAATTCACCTACATCGAAAAACTGTTTCAACTACCAGGGGATGGTTCAGCATAACGCGAAACCCGAGAGAAGAGAATCTAAAAATAAGTCTTCGAAAACGCATCGCTGTTCTAATGCAACGAAACCGATTGTAGAGAAACCGGAAGTCGCAGAAACAGTTGAAGAGAGAGCGAGTCCTCAGACAGAAAGCATTAGTTGGAAAATCCAACGTTTCTTTCAGCGCTCTCCTCAAAACTAGACATATGTATACTCGACTGTATAGAATTCCTGTCACTGATTAGCATGTTAATATTTCATTTTTCGGAAGTGGGGAACATGTGTTTCACGTTAATCACGTATGTAGAGGCGATAATGAATTTCAATATAATCTCATTCGCATCTTGATAACCTCTACATGTCAAATAAGCAGCGTTTTCTTTCACTCATTTATATTTCATTTAATCATTTTTTCTTCAAATTGATCTCAACATTTCCCCGATTTTTCTGCAACAGAATAATAAGTCACATTTTACATTAAATGATTCTGATTATATATTTTATATTTCATTGTCTCTAATAACAGTTAAATGTAAAGCTGCTTGGCAGGCCTGTTATACGAGTATATGCATGTATGTATAAGCCATTTTGATTAAATTATCAGAACAAATATCAAGCATATCTTTTTTTATTTGAAATAGAAAAAAGAAAGAAACACAAGAACATGATATTAGAAACTGCTTGGAACAAAATCAGAGTGATCCTTTATGTAATTGGCTCCTGTGGCTTATACAGAGCGTAGACCTGACTACCAAGCGCCCTTAGGATTGGGCAGTAACTTATAGCTACAATACAGACAAGTATTTTTAATTTCCATTGGATGGGGAAAAGTCTCAGTTCCCGCGTCCTGGGATAAGTACCCCTCTCTCGTGTTGTCTCTTCCGGGGCAGCACGGTTTTATTTTTTTTTTTTTCCAGAAAAATAAATGTCAATTATCGCCGTTTCTTTGATAAGAAGTGATATATCTTAAGACCTCTTCTAAGCCAAGCAACTACTCTTAAAGTTGACCTGCTGGACTTTATCGTAACTTACCCGCCATTTTTTCCCCGTTATCACTGTGAGATTGCGACCCTTGGTGTTTTCTCTCTCTCTAAAGTACAAGTCGTTTTGGCGCGACTTCGCTGCTCTCCGCTTGCAGCCTATATGGTTCAAGGCAAGCAGCTAGCTGTCGCAGCTCATTGACGTGCAACAAGGTCCTTGCGTAACGTCTAATCTGGTGAGTGAATTTATAGGAAGACCTTGTTATGAAGTGTTCTAATGTCATTCTTAGTGACATGTGTTTGTGAGGCATCTGCAGAAAAACAGTGCAAAGTTTATATACAAAATCTGTATTTAGGGCTGGCCATGGCGTAACCTGCCGAGTCTAGTATAGCTTTCTATGTTCTCCATATTATTTATATCAACAGGTGGTTAGTTGTAAAGGTAGATATATAGAGATTAATATCCATTTAAGGTTTTTATTATAAGGATTGGCATATTATGGGTTATAGTTGAAGAATAAGTCGGCTACAGTAGATGGAAACGGACCTACTTGTGTCGAATACAGTAAGTTTTCTGATAATACATTGTGACCTAATCAGGTCGATGGGTTACGACACTCCGGGCATATTCAGTTGTTGAGCACGAAATGGTACAATAATTGACACATTTGTTGTCTCTCTACGTTATGTATGACATATGATAACAATAGTAATAACAATTTTACGTTTCGTAGTTACAATCCATATCGCACAAATTATTTAAAAATCCTTGTTTGTAATTCTGCACGACTGTGTGTTGGATCCAGGTGCTGATCGCGGCAGCCCTAGCTGTCATGTCACCGTTTTGTTTCCATATGTCCTAGAAATGTGTTTTTGACCTATTTTATGACTTTATTAAACGGTTGGCACAGGTGAGTGAGAAGAGATCTCATTTGAGTGTGGTCCGACTTGCCAGGAAACTCGTGTCACGACGGAGAATGACGGAACTCCGAGAACCCCTATACACTTGATTTATAAGGAGACGGAAAAATATGACCGTTTTCTTTTTCTTTGGTTGAGATAGTGGAGGTAAAGATAAAGTAGGCGAAATATGCGCACAAAATATCCCATTAAAATGGAATGTGATTGCATTTTTGATGCGTTTCCCTGTAAGCTCAATGTCAACTCCTTTTCTTTTCATACATACAAACCAGTTTCATGCTCATTTTCGTTGATATTTGCCTCCGTGCATTGGCTACGAATTTTTGTTTATTTACTACTTGGTTGCATTTCTTGTCAACTAATGCTACGTTGAACTGTACATACATCTTAATTTATAATGTTCCTCAATTACAAAATTCGCTCAATTTTTGACGCGAAAAACTTGTCTTATTTCACTTTTCGTCCATTTTATTATTTCGATGCATGTATAAATGAAATTAACCCATTTACTTGGATAATAGGTTATGCGAGAGCAGGGCAGGTACGGTACTAATAAACCCATAACAGCATAACAGGAAGTTTAAGGCTCTATTCCCATAGATTTTAGAACGATCTATCCCCGCGGGGAGTCTCACTAGATTACTTTCAGATAATCCGACTTAAATGTCCGTCCCGCCTACTACAAGCTGTAAGGGGGTAATTAACTTTCGTGTCCGCCCGGCTGACAGCTATTTAGCGTGAACCCCCAGGGAGTTAGGTCGATCTTAAGTAGGTCGATCTAATCTATGGAAATGGGGTGTAAGGGTTAAAACTGTAATTTACGTTGCAAAACATATTCGATCCAACAGGAAATCCCTGAACACAGAACACAGATGACTCTTCATTTGTTATGCACAGTACATTTTCTTTTTTATCAAGAAAAAATAAGATTTGTTGCGAAAATCCAGAAAAGAATACCTTTAATTTGTCGTTTGGAACCTGGACAAATAAAACGTTTTATTAGTACAAGTTTGGAGGATGTAACGTGCTACATTGTACAATACAATACAAAATACAATACAATAGAAATGAATACAAAAAGGTACAATTCGGGTACAATGTTGCTATTGAACGACAGAAAATGAAGAAAATGAAAGATATGTCTATGATACTACGTTATCCTGTAAATGAGATAAACTTCTAGCTATCTTTCAGTGGTAGTATTTATTCCCTATCGGTGCTTGTGTCAGTTCTTATGAAAAGAGCCCTTGATTTCCATTTTCAAGGTTATCGCAAATGGCATATTTTTAAGTGCCAAGATTTGATATTCCATATAATATATGCGGCAGTAACATTATGGGTAATATCTGCCTATGGGGATATTACTTTTATACCTTAAAATATGTGATGCTATTTCCAAATTCCCGAGAATGAATGGGGTGGACCATCATAATTAATTGTTCGCTTGTTTGTTTGTTTATTTATTTTTTATCTCCATGACACATGTAACGTCTTTACGCATGTGTATGTATCTTTGTAAATGTCCACAGTGTTTGACTTCTTTTTAAATGGCTTGCAACACTTTTTGTCACTTCTGATTGGAAATTAGCGCATAAAGATTTGCTTCTAGTCATGTTGTACGATCGTTAAATTATCTTCACTACCAATGGCAATATGCTAATTGGTTGATATGAAACTAGAAATTAATTGCTTAACCTTAACTATAGGTGAGATTTGAAATAATTTAATCAGTTTCAAAAACTTGCTTTAAAATCTAATTTGAAGTGGAAGCAATTCCCAGCATTGCATGTCCCGATAATGAGTACCTTCTCAAACACAAATTCCTTGATTTTGAAAGTGATAACTTATATTGCATAGGTATCGTAGTTTAACCGAAAGTATGATGTCAATTTGTTTGTTTTTTTTCTGTCTTTCATTCTTTTCTCAAAGTTGGGACTTTTATGTAACATTAGATGTGAACCATGCCCCAGGCACAAGTAAACCAGTTCGGCGCTGTGGACTATGTCGTCTTCGGTAGTACTCTCGTGGTCTCGGCGGGCATTGGCATTTTCTCAGCGCTGACGGGAGGCCACCAAAGAACGACATCAGAATTTTTAATGGCAGACAGAAAGATGGGTCCCATTCCAGCAGCCTTGTCGTTATTGGCCAGCTTCATCTCGGCCATAACTTTGCTAGGGACGCCTAAAGAAATCTACGTGTATGGTACAGAGTATCTGTGGATGGCGCTCAGTTACTTTCCGGCTATTGCTGTTGCAGCGCATGTGTATCTTCCTATCTTCTTTCGGCTCCAGGTGACCAGCGCACATGAGGTGAGCTATAATTTGTAGATGAGGAAATAATTGTTAAATTATTGTATATATATA